CCTCGAACTCACAGAGATCCGCCTGGCTCTGCCTCCCGAGTGCTGGGATTAAAGGCGTGCGCCACCACCGCCCGGCAACCCTTGGGTCACTTTTGATGGCCTCTTCCCTTTCTTCTGCTGGCTTTCTGTCCCACAGGCACTTATCCATAATTACGGCCCTCTTCTGTAGGAAGTTTAAGTAGAATATCACTAAAGAGTGAGGGACAAGATGTCTACACCTTAAGCATTCCATAAAGTCTTCCTTTCTTTCTTAAGAGAAGAGTTGGTGGTAAGTTACTTCTGTGCTATCCTGTGCTTCTTAGCAAGACTAACTCTGTTGAAACACTAACATCTGGTAGTTTTCCCAGAAAACTGTGTGGGATACCAAACAGCTTCTGTCTCTAGACATGAGACTTAGTCATCAAATCATGTTCTTGGCAATTATCAAAGTTCTGTTATACAAAGATGTGGCTAGCATAGACAAATAGTTCTCAAATTTGGGCAGGCATTCAAACCACCTAGTGGAGCTCAAGTCTCCTGATCTCTACACACCTCTCCCAAAGCTCTGGATTATTAGAGTTGAGGTAAAGCCTGACAGTGTGACTTTTGAACAAGTTCCCAGATGATCCTGATGTTTCCAATCCAGGAACCACTGCCTGAGAAACAAGGGCATATTTCAAAACTCATTCTCCTATGGAAGGGTGCTTCTGTCTTGCTTTATAATATTATCCATAAATATTATAAAATTGCATTTCATAAGTTGTATTTTATACTCATTAAGAATATCTCATGTGCTTCTTTCCTACACCCTTACATTGTAAGTATTTATAATATATTGGACTTATTGACCTATACAGTATAAGAATTAAAGAAAATAATCACAAATTTTAGCTATATTGAATGACAGCATTTTCCATCTTCAAAAGGAAGACATAACAATCACAGTTTTAATGAACATGCTGTAATGTTCTAAATAAAATCAATTTGACTTAATCACTTCCAGACTGACAAGCATTTATCCTTGCTTTTAAATTTGCCTTGTCAGTAAAATAGGTTGTGAGATCTTTACATATGTGTGCAAATAAACTGCATGCTAAAATATGTAAGATTTCATCCTTTATATTGGCACTCAATGTTGTGTTTTAAATCTCAGTTTTACTGTCTTGAATTGGTGGTGATTAAGTGTTTTTATGTTCAAAGACTGCAGGGAAATCTTGAAACTTAAAGGAAAGGCTATCAGAACTTTAGCTGTAGCAGGAATGGCAACAGGGCTCTGTTATCAAGAGTGTTAATTATTTATTCACACCTGGTTCACCACTGATTAACAAAACCTATTAAGGCCTTCCCTTGAAGACCTAACTGTTGACATGTATTTGCAGCTGTTGTTGATTTTTTTTCCAAATTAGCACATTATGTGTTTGGAAAACAGACAAAAAACAGCTGCAATGTCTGAATGCATTTATTATGTACGCTTCTCAAAATGCTATTTAGGTTGCGTAGTAAATGATGAAGTCAGAGGGAAATGTACTGTTAACTCTGCGTGCCTAGTAGTTCTGAGTCTAGCAGAAATGAAACAATAAGGGAATCACATTAAGACTTCAGCCTTCACTTTGGAAACAGATTCTGTATATTTCAGAGACCTGCTATTCAATAATATACATAAAACTATGTTAATACAGAGCAGTTTAGGAAGGTTTAGCAAAGCCTACAAAATATGGCTGAAAATAATTAAAAATGGATGTAAATTCTTATTAAAGTAGCATTGCCTTGCTTTTCATAAAATGCAATCATCAAAGCACTATTGGCTTCATAGTCTCTTCTAAATGTTTTTACCTTCAGGCTATAACAATAAATGCTATTGTTAAAGACTACATTAACAACTGAAAATATTTTTCTTTTGTGTTTCAAGTATTTATTATTGCCGCTTTATTGTAGCATTGCTTCTTGGAGTGAGATAACTGGCATGTCACGTGGTTTGGAAATCACCTACCTCCAAAGTCCTCTGTTTATGTGGACTCAGGAAGACTTAGGGAAAGTCAGGGATCCTTCTTCAGATCTGTGCAGACCAATTCCCTCCCTGTAAAAAGGACACAGGACAATGAGAGAAGTGGTCTGAGATCTGGGTTAACCTTCTGCTCACATGTGCTTCTCTGTTATCCTCTATTCCAAGTCATGGAAAACAGGTGGCTCTTGCTTGTCCTCTCACTGCTGTGGGTCCCATTTTCTAATAATGGTGGGTTCCAGAGAGGACAGACGGTATAGCAGGTGGAGATTCTTCTGTTATCATTGCCAGCCCTGACAATACAACATTCTTTCAGTCATCAGTTCTATGGAGTAATAAAAGGCTTTTTTTTTTTTTTCAAAATTACAGTGGAATATTTTCACATTCATCTTTATCAGAGACAGGTGTTGTCTAATTAGCATTATCTGTTTACTTCATGGTTCTTGTCACAGACGTGCTCACTAGATCAGACATACACATCTGTCCATATTATTAATTACACAAAGACAAGATCATTTTCAAATACCAATCACATTGCAGGCCACTGCTCTTTGTCCATTTTGTTTCTCTAACCTGAAACAAACTTTGCATGCTTCTTTGCCTACACAAGATTTGGCTATATCAGCCAAGTTCCTGAATGCAGTCACAGTAAACAGATGCTGTCTATGTTAAGCACAAGAGGAATCTGTGAGGAGCCAACAGGCTTACTGGAAAACTAGACTTAGAAAAACAAAAGAAATCAAAGCAATTCTGAAGGGTCGAACACACACACAAAGAAATTTACTTCATCTTGACTAATCTCCCTACACACAAAAAAAAAAAAATCTAAGGAGAAGTATTTGATAGATAATGTTATTTATCAAATGCACTTTATGCTGGTTGGCATAGAGATAATCTACACTTTGGAATGTAGAATGTTTCTTTTTGCCAGGAAATAAGCCCCAGAAAATTCCCTAAAATCAAGAAGGCTTGGACACATATAGGAACAAGAAAGACTTGGGTTCAGTCTCGGTGTCAACTCATTTAAACTGTTTCCCAGCGGCTTCCACACTGTTGGCTTTATCTTCCCTCTGAATAATTATACCCAGCTGACGTAGTGTTTGTATTGTCTATCTTACCACATATAAATGCAGAGTCTCATTTGTAACTTCTTCGCATTTTAGAGGTTTGCCTTTTCACTGTGGACTGAGCACATTTTCAAAAATTTTAGAGTAAAAAACACACTTCAAGCAGGAATAGCAGGGTGGTGATGGTTAGATGAATGTTGGGCTCAAAAAGGCTTATTAAGCATGACATCTGAGACACAGTATGCAAATAAAATGTTTTAAAATACACTGTGGTAAAATGTACAGATAAAGCAAACATCCTCAGAAGAGACAAGTCTTCACAATATTTTAATGTTTTTTTTAATGGCTTTTACTGCAAAATGCTAAGTATGTGATGAATTAGCTTACATTTTCCCATAGTCTAATTAATTCACAGAGATCATGTTTTATATTCAGTTTCTGCTGCACTGACAAATACTACGAACGAACTGGGTAATTTCTAAAGAAGAAATATGAGCTCTCATAGTTCTGGGGGCTGGGACATCCCAGGCCAAGACGTCAGCGTCATCTGTTGAGGGACTTTCTGCAGTGTCACGACCAGACAGAAGGCAGCACACAGCAAAGGAACACACATAAGGAAGCCAGAGAGGAACAGGAAGCTGAACTTGATGCTGTAACAACTCATTGTCAAGGTAATGAACCCAAACCCACAAGGAACATTCATTGATCCATCAAAACGTTGAGCCTTCCTGATGTAACACTTCTTGAGGCTCCCAGTCCCCAGTACCATCCATTGGAAATTTTATTTCAGGATGAGTGTTGGAATAGATAGTCAAATCATGTTAAGTGGCATCTCATGTGGTTGTCAGTGATCTCTGCTTCGTGATATTTATGTGCAGGTGCAATCCCTTTGTCTTGTTTCTTGTGGATAGACTGTGACAAAAATAAGTAGATGTCAATCATGAAATTAGGTTTTGGAAGATGGTGACACCTCCCTTGCCCCCACTGTCTTCCTCTCTCACTTTCTCTTCTCTCTTCTTACCTCCCTTCTTTTCCAAGTCTCTCTCTACATATATTTTATTTATATATATATATATATATATATATATATATGTGTGTGTGTGTGTGTGTGTGTGTGTGTGTATATATATATATATATATATATATATGGCTTAGTCTACTAAATTTCCTGCTCTGATAAGACAAGCTGCTATGTGTTGATCTCCCCCATACTGGGTTAATAACAAAAAGAATTTTTTTTTTGTATTTCAAGTATTTATTTTAGCAACAAATCTGCCTGGAGTAAAACAGCTGGCATCTTGCTTGGTTTGTAAACCATCTCTCTTTAAAGTCCCTGTATTGATCTACAATCAATCAAAGGATTCCCTGTCAATTTCAGATATTGTGAAGATTAATTATTTCCATATGAAATATAAATAGGACAGTGAGAGAACTGGCCTGAGATTGGGGTTCAATTCAATAACCTGTAAAGAACTGAGAAGCTCCATGCCACACAGTCTTACCTTCCAACATGTGAATGAGGTTGAAGGTAAATTCTTCCTACTTGAACTTTGATCCCTGCCCAACCATGACTTTGACTGTGAGAGGCTCTGAAGAAACAAACAACAATAACAACACTAACTCTAAATCAGACACGGTTGGGGAATCCTTAGGGAATTTGAAATGAAGGTGCAAATTAAAGTAGAATATAAAGAAAACCTTTAAAAACTATTCCTCAAAAATATTAATGAAGTAACTAGTTTGTATTCTATGTCCATTTCTTAGTTTCTTCAATAATATTTCTCATAATAACTCTCATGTCTGTCTTCTATATGTAAGTACATAGGATTTGAACTCAAATTCTTATGTTTATAGAATGAGCTCTTTTATCCACTGAACTTTCTCCCTAAGCCTAGTATGTCAAACTTTTCCTGGGGAGACATAAACCAACGCCTTTTCATCACAGATAGGAGATCAACATCAGAGCAAGGTATAAATACCATCAAAGTCTAACTTGGTCAATCAGTGATTTTTATAAGGGTTACTTACAGTAATGTGGGTGAGGGGTTTCTTAGAGGAATAAAATACTGACTCAGAAAGCAGGATCACTAAAGTCCACCCTAGAATGGGGGGACAGCTAAAATGGCTAGAAACAGAGAATTCTGCACAACCTGCAGAGAACTCAACAGACTGGACGGTGTCCTTTTTGGCTCAATTTGTGTGAGCCTCTTCCAGGTGTCTCAGTTGGTCTTAATTTCTTCTAGGCAGTTCAGCTGGTCCCTGCTTCTTGCAGGCTTCTAGGCTTGTTTGAAAGTCTTCATACACTTCAAAGTTTATTCAAGACTGGTGTAATATTTTCTCCAGTATCTGAAAAGGTAAAAATATAAGAATGCCTGTTATATTTAATTTCAAACTATTTTTCCGCACACTAATTAAAGATTAGAACAACTGCATTCTGTTGCTTCTGTCACATTTAATTTAGGTTTTTAAATGCTAACAAAATCATTTGGCTTTAGGAGAGCACATTTCCGTTCTATTTTAAAATAAACAACCATGTCACTAAAGTTGACTGTATACTTATGTACATAAAGGCTGTCATTTTGACTTCAAGCTTTCATTTCAATTCTCAAACCTTTAGTGGAAAAAAAATCTTCCAGTTTAAAGTCAGGAGTTTCTCTCCGCAAAACAATAAGTAAAAGAGGCAGCTTGATCTTTTTAAGAAAAAAATGTCAACTCTCTATACAGGAAAATTTAATTGGTTGCAAATGTTAAATCAGATTCTCCAAAATTCAGTGGGATCTCATTTGATAGAATTTCAAGTCTCTATGTACTGTCTCACACGAAGTTTCCTTCTTGTACAAACTCATGCCAGTTTTAGTGCTTGGAAAGTGGTTATGTGCAGCAAAAAAAAATAATGCTGTTGTAACATCTTTCATGATACAATGGGAATTTTTATTGTATTCAAGGTAATTTTTGCGATTTTTCAAGTGTATTTGTGTGTTTTTTGCACCATTAAACTCAATGAACTCTATATATTTCAAAAATAGTAATAGATGCTGGTGATGAGGAGGAGAAGGAAGAGGAGGAGGATCATTTGTGTGGTGTGTGTGAGTGTGTGTGTGTGTGTGTGTGTGTGTGTGTGTGTGTGTGTGTGTGTGTATGTGTGTGCTCATGATTTGAGCAGTTCTTATTTTGGGAGTTCTTAGTGCACAAAATGCAGTTTGTTTTTTAATAAGAAACTTTTACTATGCATGACATTTACACAGGATTATATCACCAATACAAATAATTCTGCGTTTGTTTAGGGAACATCAATGTCTAAATCTACATAGTTCATTATTGTTTCCTTCTTTCATATCTTTATGTCTAATATTTTATTATAAAATAAAAGATTTTATCACTTAGAACATATAAGTAAGTCAGATTTTCTGAATAAATATGAATTTTTCCTAAAACTCTATTTGACAAAAGCCAATGTCTTTTTTTCTTTTTAAGGAAAAAAGGACTGCTTTTCTATATAAAAATGATGCTGTATAATTTAATGGTATGTTTATGAGGACTTTGAAACTCAAATGTCCTGTAGGCAATGCTCACCTCTAAAAAGGTTGGGAAAGCCTGGCTTCCTGCCACAGTCCATCTCCAGCACACATGCAGTGCATGTGCAACTTGGAAAATTGAGTTTCTGAGCTTCCAATATTTCATAAAGCAAAGGGGAAAATGTCTCCTTCATGGTGTTTTCATAATTAATATGTGAGGAGCAATTAAAAAAGAATCTGCCTGATGCCATGTAATAATAGACTCTTTCCTTTCCTGATGCATTAAACATAAATTCATTAATACATAGAAATTCAAACTGGATCACATTATTTTTTACCAACATTTTTTTCGAATAGTGTTACTCAGGGTGGCATGCGCTGTGATCTTTGGTAGAAGCTGATGACATGGAGTTATGTAATATTAGAAAGCAAAGAATGACATTTTATATATAGATTGCTAAATATTATGTCACTGTCTTTAACGTTTATTAACTATAAATGGAAAAAGCAAGTTTAGTTAACAGTTTCTTAAAAACATAGCTGGTGACATTCATGCCTACATGTCAAAACTTTTGATGAATGAATGGATAATTCTTTTCAAATTGAATTATTAATTATACAGTATAATCATAAATTTAGTGCATATTTAAGCATTGATTATACGATGAGCATTTCATGCTGACAGGGGTACCTAGGAAATTATCTCATGCTTATGGAAACATATCCACCCAAATATACAATTCCTTTTTTGAAATATGTTTGCTATGAAAACCCAGCTAACCTCAATCCTCCTGCCTCAGTGCTAGGATTATTGCCCAACCTGAAAATGTAGCTAAGAAAAAATTACTATGCATTTGTAACAGCATGTGGATATATGTTATTGGAAAATATGTTTTCCAACCTAAGATGGATCATGGCTAACCTGAAAATGTATCTAAGGAAAAAAATACTATTCACGAGTAATGACGTGCAGATACACATTATCAGAAAACATGGTTCAGAAGGGGAATTGAGAAAATCTACAGGAAAATGAATATGTAACTACACAGAGATATCAAATACCTTTTTTCCCAGTTTCCAGACAGTAGATAAAACCTATTTATCTCTTTTTCTCTCTACTCTTACCAATATTTATTCTCTCGTCTCTTGTGTCCTCTCTCTCCCATCAATTACAAATCCATGCTAATGAATAGTTAATTTAGAAAGCCTTAGCTGCATTTGCTAATTTCCATCTCAGCCCCAGTCATTTAACCATCCTCTTAATTACTAACACCAGTGCAAACATTTCTACCCCTGCAAACTTCATGCCTTGCCCCCAAACCAGAGCCCTTGCTTTAAAAATTTAAAAATTTGTGGTGAATATGTACCTATATAGATATAGCTAGTGCCTTATTACCAATTTCCAGGCAGTAGGTAAAACCAATTTATTTCTTTCTCTGAACTCTCTCCTATATTTATCCTCTCATCTTTTGCATCCTCTCTCTTCCACCACCAATTACAAGTTATACCTCTCTTTTTTATTACATCACATTCTAACCTCATTTGGCTCTCCAAGCAAGTGTCTCCTGTTATCTGCCAAAGTGAAGCCTTCATTAAAGTTGGAATCATTTACTTGTAACTAAGAGAGTTAATGTGACAAATCTAGGTCTTTCTTCAAGGGTACTAAAAGTCAATTAGCAATCCTCTTGTACCAATCAATCTGCCTATCCATATTGTGCTTCTTAACTGAAAATTACTCAAACATTTTATGACATGTTCTAATACTGTCTTTCCCTGGGTTTCCTTAATATTTTTGAGCTGATGAAAGGAATTTTACTTGTGGCTTTGTGCTTTTCATCTGTTTCCATGATGTGATCAGAACTCAGTTTGCAAATAAGATAAATACGAACTATCAGAGGCTCCATTATTTGAGGTTATGGAATGAACTCCTAGAAGAGCATACCCAACTGAGTTGAGTGTATAGATTGGATAAGGATTCACTTATATTCAGCAGTTCTCAAACACGTTGATGCACAATGACTTATATCTCTAAACCACTGTTTAGGACCTCAGTAGATGCTCTTAACCTGTTAGTATTTACTGCATTTCCAATTAACAGAGAAATTTGTGAAATTTTTATTTAGTATTTTAATTAAAATAAAATATTTGATGTAAAA